ATCCGCTGAGATCCCAGAAAAGATAACATATATCCGCTGCTAAATTTCCTAGATGCTTTTATTAATTATGAGGCTTGCCTATATACGCATGGTTAATCCTTTCTCGCGTTTTCTTGCCACTGCATTTTATGATAATAATAGTAAATTTAGTAAATTTTGTCTTTATAACGCTGTCGTCTTCAGTACTAGATGACAAAAAATATTAAATGAACACAGTGTAAAATTAACGAAACAATTTTAATAACTTTGATTTATCGTTATTGCAAGCCACAAGAACACAGAGCTGGTAAAATATCACTAGTATGCTCATAGTAGAGGTTTCGATGGCATCGGGAGAACAAAAAAAGGCCCATCGAATTCATGTACACTACTAACAGAGTCGAACACAGGATTTGTAAACAGCAGATTAGATAGCTGGTGTTGACCTAAATGTGACCTATTAAATTATCCATGGTTGGGAAGGCCGACTTAGAATGTTGGACGTGAAATCGACCCAATAAATATATGTAATCATATATGTTTACCCATGATGTACCAGGATTGCCTGACAAACTCTTCTGTTTGCACATTTTAACCCAGATTAATTTGAGTACGCGTTAACCCATCAAATACAATGAAGCTTAGAGTCTATTTCGATGCGTATGAAATATTGCTACGAAAATACGTTGTCGCATATCGATGAGGCTGAACCCTATTTCAAGCTAAATCCATCACGCGTCATTAAGCACAAAGTGTGCTATTTGCCCTTACGTTATGGACACATAATATATCGTGTCGTTCTCTTAAAGATAGTACCTGCGTGGTACATGAATACATCCTGTCGTGTTATCTTACTACTGGATATTACTTATTTTTCATTGAATTTTTCTGCGTTCGATTGTAGACCGAAGTCGGGTAAGCTTATTATATCAAATATTCAGCCAATACTTCACCAGTAACACACAAAAATGATCTGACCATAGCAAATCAACAAAAATATATCTTCTCTAATGTGCGCGAAAGGTTCAAAAGGTGCGCATTTACATAGCAGAAAACAAACAATCGTTTGCTACTAGCACGCTGACCAGGACACAGGCCAGGGATAGGCCAGGGATAGGCTGGAATGACTCTAACTGACACGATAAGAGCGCATGAACCATTACAGTTAGAAGTTAGCTGGATGCAAACTATCGACATAAGGGTCGTCATTGAGGCCGCTAACGATAAATGCCATAAACGCATCTCGCACGGAGTCCTATTTTAAGCTTTGTTGACATCGCTGAATGCGAGGGTCCATCTAATAGATGGTATAATATTGTCAGCGAGATCAGTCATCAATTTACGATAAGCAGGAAATGCGGTAAACATGACTCAACGTGGCATGTGTTAAGCGATACATAAGGCTTACGCTTAACAACAACTCCCTAAGACGATTAGCCGTATAAATAAAAGTTGAGCTATAACATCTGGGTGTAAAGAGCAGATATGCGATAGGCCAAAGTTCCCTTTCCTCTTTATCTATGCGTTAAAATGTCGTTTTGTGTAACGTGTCTTAGGCCTAGTTGTTCATTTCTTTTGGCGCTTTTTTTAAAATTAGAATTACCTGTTTTCTTCTTTCGAAATGATCAGATCCTCGCCCGTCGGACGCCCCGTGGCGAGCCGGACACAGCTGCGCCGTGACGACTCAGAAGCATTTTTGTTTGCTCGTCTTTCAGTGTCTTGAAGAAGCCTGAACTTTAGACTTTACGTAAAGCTTCTATAATAGTGTCGATCAAACGACCAGCGAATAGCGATACAGCCAGTAAAAAAATAAGTTCATATTGCCGCAAGTAACTACTTAGGGAGTTTGATCGCTAAAAATCACTGTCACTTTGGCAGAAACAGATTGATTAAGACGTTCGTTGGCGGGAACTGACAATGCTGGGGTTCTTCCAAATGTTGTTGGTACATTACTGCTGCTGTTGTTGCGGACGACTTTGCTGACTATTCCTACCACCCCAAAGATCCCCCTACTTTAGCAATTCTTTCGCTGCTAAAGTTGAGGTCGGATTTAAAGAGACCGTCGATCTGCTACCTTCTACTGTTACTCCCAATGCAACCTGTAGATACGGATTTGACATAGATGTTTCACTTTGAAAGGCCTTCTTGACCGTCGGCGGTGGAAGTCAATTTGAAGATTCTTCCGTGCTTCTTCGGGCGGAAGACATTCAGCAGGCCGCCAGAGAATGCCTCACCAGTGAAACCGTACGTGCGAAGCGCTTGAGGATTTGTCTCAATAAAAAATTCGTTGAATACATTCGAAATTCGTTGAAACTCACACTGCTTTTCGTAGTTTTTGTAACGCATTCTTATATTTTGTACTCAGGCACACCTTGAATTTTAACCAGCATAAGTGATTTAATACTTCAGCAATTAGCTTGATCGTTATTCCGTTAGCCCGTGGTTAATCCGAATCCTAAAAGCACCCTTTGGCTTCACTGTTCTAGTAAAGTACGGTTTTAGGACGTCAGTTTCGTTTCGGATTGCAAAGATCTCGCTCAATTTTCAGGAAAATTTTTCTATAATTTTGTTATAATCCAATATATCTGTGGCTTCCTTTCTTTGAAGTTCTTGCGAATTTATGAAAGCTAGGCCGTTTTTTTTTCCCCATTGTATCAATAAACGTCTTGAGCTATTCCACAAAGTCGGCAACACTTCGCTGTCCATTTGGCCAAAAAAGTTGCGCTCACCAAGTTGACTCTGAAATCGTTTTGTGTTCTCGGTAAATTCGTACGCGGACCGGTAAACGATTTTTCAACTTTTCTCATACACCTTCGCTTGATATTAGTATATAGTAAAAAATATGGCGGTTTTAAGCTGTCATTTCTGTTAGGTCAGACATGTTTGATGTATTGAAACGTTGTGAGAGTTAGAGACTGACCTTAACTTTCATTTGCCGCACTATTCTAATAAAGCAAAGGAACTTTTTTCAGTTTAACTACTCAGGTTCAGGTTAAAACACTCGCTAGAGGTTCGCTATTCTGGTGATCAGGCGGATTCAGTAAATTCTTCGATATCTCATCATCATCATCATCATCATCATCATTAAATAATCGTAGCGTTTTTTTAAGAAGCTCTTGTGCCTCAATCTCGATATAATGTCGTTTGATTGATTGGCTCCAGAGATCATCAATCTTTTACCCTCAGGCGCACAGGACGGTAGAAGGTAAGTTGAAATATATATAGAACATAACAAACAAAAGGAATATCCTTTCTTTATATATCAAAAATGTTATGTGATTTTTTTGGCCTGTTCGACAGGAACATGTAAGGTAAAACGCTGTCAAAAACAGGGTCAAGTGCCAATTGTAAATAAAAAAAATAACTATTAGCTCCAGCTGTTGCAACAGCCACATACACATGCCCTCTGCTACTATAACTGTTTGCTCGAACCCGTCACAAAAAATATCTATTGTATATGACACAGATATAGTATGGCTGATGTATTATTTTTATTCCGTGTCCAACTATTTCCTTATGTTAGCTACTACGTATAGTCGATCACTTGTTGTTTGAAATACCATTTATTTACGCTGTGACTGCTGTAATCGACAAGGTGAAACGTGTTATTATTTGACACGTATCCCCTACATAGAGGTGCTTAGTCGAACATAATACCTTTTTTTTTTACGTAAGGGGCGCTTTTTTCAGCTTTTCTTGTAAAACAGTCGGTGTCAACGCAAACGGATTAGACGTCTATCGCTATTAATCCATTATTATTCTATTGCTGTCTCAATCAGTTAACGTCGTACGGGCTTGGATGACTGGCTGATGTTACTTAACGCTGTTGGCCAAACAAGCAAATCAATCGATGTTTATTTATAGAGCTTTTTGTTGGTCCTTGATTAAAGTTAGATGACAGCCTGTCCTTTGGCAAAAACGAAAATAATGGCTTGTACGCTATTCGATAGCTTATACATTGTATTCTAATGCAGTTTACTACCGTTCCTTTGTTCTATCAAAGTGTATTGATACATCTTGTATTGTACATAACTCCTATGGCAAGTGCGAAAAGTGTTTGCCTGTCGTTTTCCTTTGGAAAGTAATGGTGTTTTTAATGATACGTCTAACTTTTTTTATAACTATAACTCTTTTTTTTTAGTTTTATTTAAAATTTATAGCTTAGTTTAAAAATGTGAACATGCTAATATACTCGAGATGTAGTCTGTGGCTTCAGAGATGCTAAAAACCTTAACCTTCTAGTGCTAAGACTCCGGAAGTAGAAAGGGAACTATGACTGAATTTAACAATTGAATACCGTTTCAATTATTACTGTCAAGAGTATAAATTTCACTAAATCAATTAGGACGAAGTAATTGTACATTGATAGATATGCTAGGCTTCAGCAAATGCTAGAATCGTTAACTATAAAAACGTTTTTCGAGCATCACGGATCGTTCAAACAACAAGCCTAGGGCACTATCAGAATACGCTCACCAGGCCGATCGTTAATGACGTGAGCATTACTACTTCTGGTCTAATAGGCCTAGCATAATTCCATGTTTCATTTTAAAAATCTCAACTGCTACACGCCTTTTCATTAGAATTTGCTTAGACCAACTATCGTGATCTCAATGTATCTTAGCCTGATACCTATACACAAAAAATGTTTCTGACCTTCAAAAAGTAGCTATAAATTGCCACTTATTCCCAACTTGGGCTGACTAAATTTTATTATGGAAAAAACTGTAAACGAAATTGCAACAAACGTGCTAGTTAGTTCCACACAGAAGATTCTATAGAAGAACGATAACCGTCACGACTTAGCTACACATTTTACGTACACTGATAATAACAACACGAATTTATATTAAGCTAAATGTTACTCATCAGACTAGCAACAGCTACGCAATATATATATATATATATATATATATATATATATATATATGTGTGTGTGTGTGTGTGGCTTTACCCCTGTTATATGCTGTTCTAAAATAAAAACACCGCTTTTAAAAGTAATATATTGCAGTGTTAGTTTATTACTGAATTGATATGTCAAACATCTTAACGTGTCATCCACTTTCACTTATTCACTTGTTTAGTTATTATTATCTACAAACACTGCAGCATTAGAGACTTTGACGGCCTAATTACTGTTCACTATTACGGCCTATATTAAAATCAGGTACATCGACAGATGCTATCGAAGGCTGGTCGCTATCTGTCCTTTTGTACGTTTATTTTCAGGCCACTTAACATACATGAAAAGCTCAAGCATTACCATACTTATTCTAAGATAAAATTTAGTTCCACAAGTGACAATCCTACAATTAGCGTTGAAATTCGTAGTGATTTTCCATCTAACCAGTGATCCGTCGTTTCGATTCAATGTTATTTCAACAACAACAATAACATAAACACCAAGATAAACAGAGTCTTTCAGCATTCTGCCGGGCGAAACGTTTAAGATATATAAGTCGGTTTACGATTCATTTCTTAAACTCGCATTTGTCGAGATTGGGATGGTCGTGGACAATGTGTCCCATCAGGTCTCGTTCATGCGTGAAACGCTTGTGACAGTCACGAACATGACAGTAATAAAGTGTATTTGTTCCTTGAATACGTAGTAATCGCCTACGGTGGACTCGCACTCGGCCTTCAGTATCAAATCGTCCGTGGCAGATCTGGAATGGACGAATGAAATAAAGAGCAGAGGTGTCTTCGTCAAGGCGGTATCCATTGCGGGAAAAAAAAACAGACCTAGGTTGCCCCCCTCCGCGAAACTTTAATGTTGGTTAAGCTTTTATGCTCCTTGTCTGTGACAAGGGGCACAAAAGCTTATGCAACTTTAAAAGCTTACGCAATGCAATGAGGAGAAGTGCTTTCGTTTAGCTGTAATCAAATTTAATTGATACTGTAGTTTCTTGTCGTTTTGTAATGTAACTGGTCACAGAGCTTCGAAGACCTCCACGAAGTGCTCCTATTGTAGTATACCGTCTAGATACGAGTCGCATAGTCAAATCGACAAACCCATTCAAGCTGGTTAAACGTTCTTTATTCATTCCTAACAAAGAGAAGATCTTGTTAGAAACAGACGACGCAATCTCTAAGGGTCCTATGCATCTCCGTGAAGAGTATCTGGACCGCAGCCATCACATTATCGAAGGGTCGTAAGAGTTCGCTGATGTCAAGAATCTATATATAGATTAAAAAAAAATCTTCGGGTGCTGAAGCCACACTAATACATTTGAGTGGACCTAACTGTACCCAAAGGTAAAACCGGCCTTTGAACTATGGCTATTATTAATGGACTTCTATCCCATATTGCGGAGGGCACCATACACCAAGAAACACAGTCTTGGTATATATGAATAGAAGATAGCTATAGATAAAAAAAGGGGAAGGAAATCAACTGATATCGAAAAAGATACTTACGATGCACTGGAGTGGGTCTGCGTTTTGAGTCTGCTGTTGGGGTACGTGCGTTGCCAGGTGATAATCGAGAAGTCGTTGTGAGAGTAACGGCTGAAGGCAAATTTGGCACCAGACTGTACCGGAGTGATCCTGGTTTCTATTGAAATAATAAGGCCAAGAGTAACCGATTGCAGCATCATTAGAATTTAAATGGATAACAATTAAAATAAGACGATGGAAACAAAAACAACACCTAATTCATGTTGATTTTAAGCTGGCCGAAGTGACGGAATTATACTCGTTTGCCACTTATCTAATATATGTAAAGTTTGAGATGCTAAGCGTTGGTTATGGTTAATTGGAGAAATTACCTGTGGTGAACTAGACTGCCAAGGGTTTGGAATGTCCTTGGACATTCGTCACATCTGTGAGGACCAATGATTGAAGAGGCCGGATCGGCAACGTCCCCTTCAGGACCCACGGGAACGACCGTTTCATTAGCATTATCGTCTAACACTTCTGCCGACGTCTTACGGGGATTGCTGGCCGCCGAACCAGGACTCTGTAGGACGTCGTTGCCCAGCTTGGCTAGACTAGTTTTCTGCACAGCAAAAACAAGTCGACGAACACGGTGGGACGAGAATAATTTTGTTAAAACTGATTGATGTAGTAATCTGTAGCTATACAACTGTCTCGACTTTATAATAATCGAATTGTCGGCACGGAATGGTATTGTCAGAAACACCTGTTTCACGCAGTTCATCGTTAAACACTAATTAAATTAAATTGAGCGTTACATTCAAACGACACACAGCTGCTCGTTTCTATTAATGTTCAGTGAGCTGTCAAGGACCAAGATCAATGCGAGAAGCTCAACAATAATCCTGTGCTGCTAAACTCTTGTGCGCCTAAACCGTTCAAAATGGTCAAGCCGAGTAAATATATGTAGGTTTGTTTGTGAATTGGTTCAGTAACAACCTTAGATATCCGTCGCTTTTTCCTGCATGCCAATAGGTGTTTTGAAAGTTCCTCTTCAACAAATGTCGCGAAGCTTTCACATTTGTTACAGCTGAACGTCAGCGAGACCAGGTCGCCCTCAGGTCTGGGTGTTACATCAGGGACGGCGGTGCTATCATATCTGAGATCGCCGCCGATCTGAGAAAATCCAGCCCTTAGTATCCTACTAGTCGCGTCACTCTGTCCAGATTGCTGCGATGGAACAGGAAAGACATCCCTATCCGTCCGTTCGACTTCCGCCGCTGTTGGATATTCCTCTTTAACCATTAGACCGATGGTAGGCTCTAAAATTTGTGGCTGGATTTCTGCAAAATGTACCAGGATGCGGAGGGTTTTTCGAACTTGAACCAAACATAAAAACTAAAAGTGGTTGGGGCAAAAACACGTAGAAAATAATGATGTTACAAAATCACACTAAACTGTCTAACCTTGCCTTCGGTAGAAAGCTTTAACTGTGTAACGTAATATGAAAAAAGGATCTAGCTCTAAAGGAGCGGGACATGACAGTAGCTCTCAATGTAGAACGAATAGAAGAAACGTTAGGGAGATGATATACAGTTCGAGAAGATCCAAGGGGCAACCTTTTAGTGTACATCCGTGATTCAACAACGTGCAGAACAGTGATTGTCAGGGACAGCATTAGTACGACGACGATCATCTATTCGTTGCATTGTTACAATTATGATTTGTTTAGCGTCTTCACAAAAAAAAATCATATTGCCAACAATGATCGAAACATATAATAGATTGAAGTCGAACCAAGACATCATCGTCATGAATGCTGTGTTGTCCTCAACAATGTTGGTAACGTAAACGTCAGTGGGCACCATCGTGGAACTGACACGGAAGCAATTCCTCCTCTAATACAGTTAATATCATATTTTGAATGAAAACAGATTGTTCAACACGTTAAGTGCTATCATTTTTATTAGAACTTCGTACTTGCCGTACAGGTTACATCATCTTTTAATTTATATATATATATATATAGAAACGTTAAAACGGCTTTCTCTTGATCTGTATGTACATTATTATATGCACTTAAATTAATTATCGTCATCGAAGATTTACCGTCGAAGAGAACTGATTAAGCTGTACCGCTTTTGACAACCTAATAAAAAAAAACTACTAACATTAAGACAGGTTATTTTTTACCATTTTTAGCGACTATACTAGCACCGAGCAAACGGTGTTAGTGTAGTTGAAAAATACAGTGACGCTAGAGTGCAGAAAAGCTTCCAATAGTTTATTTGATCATTGTTTATGTTGCATTATTTCGGTATAGTACTTTAGTCTATTGACTTTGCACAGATTAAGTCTTGCTGAAGATTCGACATCGGTGTCGTCTGGTTTAAATAAGTGTTCAATGCACTATAGCATGGCTTAACAAATACAGGACAAATGAAAAATATTGAACTAACGATAGCAAATGATGGCATACAAAGGAAGAACGTTTACTATGATATCCTTGAGAGATTGCTTCGAAGTAATTTAGGTCATGCTTGGAGGTCATTTTCTAGAAAGAAGTAGAGAGCCGGAGAGGACGTTCGAAAACCCATTATTTGCTCGAGTTATAACAAACAATCCTGTACACGAAAAGCATAGTTGGACTTAAAATCAAAATATTTTCTCCAACTGAAGTGAGAATAGAATCTAAGGTTTTTTTGTTTCTAAGAAACTCCTCCTGTCGATATTTTGGATATCAATAGAACTGATACAGTGGGTACGGTTTAAAAAAGCTGAAGCCAGGTTCAGGACTCGGTTGAGATATAAGTACGTTACTATTCTGCACCACAAAAAAACAAGCCTTGAAAATGCCCTTCGGGACATGTGTCTTTAACGGAACGGTAAGTGGGTAGAATGAGTGGCAAAAACGAAGAAGATTTATGTTAGGGTTGGCATCGTATGATAGTGTGCATAGCTATTTTTTCTATAGATAGCATCAACAAGACAGTCATTAGAATTCATAAAAACAACGTCTAAATCAAATCGAACATTTGGCACATATATTTATGACTGACTTGGATAAACCAATACGTAATCCATTATGATCGCTAGCGACTACGTATTTGCGTCTCCCGACGACAAGTTTCGGATACCGAATTTCATTATTGCGAAAGATTTGGTGCACTTTTTACGTAGATAAAGGTACGATCTTTTCTACAGGCATATGTTCCACTCTACAAAGACTCCACCTTTATCATAAGTGTAATTATATGCTACGCAAGTGCGAGGAGACAGCTTACCCTGACGCCTTTTGACGTACAATCAAGGAGATTATTCAGTTATGTACAGCTACGGGGTACGAATTATATTCATCTAAATTGAAAAGCACTTTCGACATATCTTACATCAATATGTTCATAAGCAGCTTCACTATTTCTCGGCAGAATGCCCATTGAACACACATTTTGATGATCGTCACCCAGAGACACAGGCTCATATACTGCTGTATCCCCCAGAGACAAACACAGCTAATTAGAACGGAATAAAGCTTACATCAAATATGCCCTTTATTCGAAAGATCGCATGTTCAAATCCTCCTGCCGAAGCCTCCGCTAGATTTGACGGCTTATAATTTGTCGGACGCCATCTTCGAAGATCGAAATACACTATTGATCAACAAACGAGTTGTGAATCCAAATAAGCCAACTTGAAAAATAGTACCTAGATAAAGTTATCGAAAAGGCAAATACAGTTATTGTTAAACAAAACGAACGTTCAAAAGATTAAAATTTTCTCAAATACATCACATACAATTGCCAACGTATGCTACAATCGAAAAATATTATCAGGTGTCACCGGTATGGCAGCAAACTGATCAGTGTTTATAATATATTTCAACAGGATTACTTATTGTCGGTATTCAGCTCCTGCCATTCATTTTATAACTTAACTGACCACCTCTGTCGAATTAGTCCATAAGTCGAGTGCCAATTTTACACACAAACAACTCCGCAGGCTGGTGTCTGTGACATTTACCTGCACGTACTAGAATTAATTGTTCTTTTGACTGAATAACACTACTTACTATATGATTATTACGTAGTGCACACAATAATAACAGCAATAATAGCCATTTATACATAACCAGTACAAGAATGGCGTTTACGCTTACCCATACCATGAAACATCCCTAAATAACAAAATGACCATCTGTTATAAATACACGACGTTATGTCCGCCATCATTACACCATCGATGTCTACACTTTTAACATTACTACTGCTCTCTCATCTAAGTTATAGTGATTTTTAAAATAATCTTATCTTCATTGATCCTTCGTTTCTGTCACAATCTTACAGGTCTACATTACATCCAGTCTCAGGCAACTCAGTTTTTTTTCTTGTACCTGTTACAAATAAGTCCCACGCTTAGTACTGAATATTACCACGTCCAAGTACTATCATCGACTTTTGTCATCGCTCTTGATTTTTTTTGTTTTTATTCACGAACTGTCGAAGTGACAGATGGCTATTACAGTTCTATGAGATGTTGCTCGCGGCGATCAAAGTCGATAGCGTCTGCAACCTGTAGCCGCGTGACTGAACTCGTATAACCAGATCCTTTGCTGTTAATAGTGTAGTTCCAACAAGTTTGCCTATTAAACCTTGAGAACTTTTGGTGACATGGTCTAGAGCGGTTGATGTCAATCGTAGATACAGTTTGTCACCCCTTGACGAGAACGCCAACCGTCTGAAGCAACGATGCTCAACGAAGATAGCACCGGGTTCGAAACATTTCATCATTAAGCAATAGTGCTTGTTTTTCTTTGAGCCACATGAGCAGTACGCAGCGCATTAGCAGTGTGGATAGAAAAAGTTAACGGTGGTTAGAGCATTTAAGCTATGTATAGTTATCAAAAAGAATCGATAGTACAAAGTGCCGCCGTGCGTGCATAGTTGACTTGAAGGTATTTTCTGAGTTGGGCTGATATCGAACAGAAGATTTTTTCAGTCTACATTCTCGATTCCTGTAGACCAGCGGGACCTGAAAGCTGCTGCTGCTGCTGTTGTTGCTGTGATTGCTGTTGCAGTTGATGCTGATGTGCCTCGTGATGCTGTGATTGTTGCTGTGCTTGTTGCTGCTGCTGCTGCTGCTGCTGCTGCTGCTGCTGTTCCTGTTGGTGCTGTGGCTGCTGAGAATGCTGGTGATGGTGTTGGTGATGGATGTGGTTCGGATTGTGATGAACGTGATGGGCAGCGTTGAGGTGAAGAAGTCGCGTCTTCTTCGGAACGCAAACAGTGTTTCGGTGGACGCTGAACGCCGACGAATGTCTGAATCGTTTCCCACATTGTCGGCAAAGATAAGGCCGCTCACCCGTGTGAGTTCGCACATGTCCTTCAACATTGTGCTTTCGAGGGCTAATGTACGCGCAGTAGTTACAGCTAAAACAGCCATCAACTGTTTTCGTATAATGAAGTGTAGCAGCCGCGGACAAACTACTGCAGCTGTTGGCGCTATCGCCTGATAAATGATGCCCCCTTGCACACGAATGTCCAGTGCAAATATTATCCCCGGCACCTTTAGAAGCCTTAGCCGTACCCCCCCCGCTGCCGTTGTTGCCATCGCCGTTATTCATGATGTCACAGTCGCCGAATAGATCGTCGATAGCAAGTGGATAATCCGTCATCGACCCATTAGCGGCCACACATGTGGGGTGTGGCTGAACGCTCGAGACAGGATGGCCCTTGCATACGGCAACCCCGTGCGCATGACCAGAGGGGACCACGCCACTTGCACAGGACCCAGAGTGCGTTGCTGTTGCAGGTGGATGATGGTGATGGTGGGATGAAGGCGTTGGAGTAGAAGACTGCGACGGTGGCACAGTCACCGAATGATGAGTTTGTGCTAGGGGATTCGAGGTCAGCTCAACATGCTCTGCCGACAGACCTGCCACGGCCACCGGAGTAACAACTGCAGATGGCGCCGAAAAGGACTGTACCAGAGGAGATGCACAAGAAGATGAAGAACTGCAGGAAACTACCGAAGAAACTGATGGAGGACAGTTAGCCGAACTCGTCACGACAATAACCGGTGTCATGCTGATGCCTGAAAGATGGTTGAGGGGATGGCTGCCAGCGTTGGCCGGCTGGGGATGAGCCGCCGCAGCTTCGAGTTGAGGGAAAAACATAAGACCAACAGAATGACCGCAGAGTGGAAGAGATCAAACAGATGGAGAAGAAACCGAGTCAGTCTAAAGGATATAAGAAAGCTGCTTATAATGACTGATTGAGGACGACGCTGAAGTGAGGCTGATAACTCAATGTAATAGTAAATGAGATTAGTGATCATGATTACGGTGGAAAGTGTGATTGGCAGAATTAATTAGAAGGAAGTGGGGGGTGATGATTTGAGCCGCATGTCTTAGGCGAAGCTGAATGCCGCGGAGGTACGCTTTATTGCTTAAAGGGAATAAAGAAATTGGGAAAACGGGAAACTCAGTTAACGCCGGTGTTTCCCGTGGATCCCGTATACGCTGTCTTTTTATCGCATAGGGGTGCGAGGAAACAAGCGAGTAAAGAGATTACATGGATAGGTAAATAGGAGCTGAGTCTTCAGAAATCGATGCATGGATCTCAACGTCAATGAAGTTTTAGCAAAGTCCGACTGTTTCGTACGAGTTCTCTAAGCAATGTACGCCACTGTCTATGCAAGTTTTACTGTGAAATATCGTATATTTTTGACTTTACAACCTCGAGTCTACATATTTACTACTTCGAATAAAGCAGCTGTAATAGTTATCAAATAAAAACCGAGATGATTGGATGAAAAGACAAACTCGATCATTTATTGTGACACCTTTCAGTCTATGCGGCCTTGAGTTGGCTGGAAAAAAACAGAATAATCCTGAACTTCTCTGGTAATTTGACAGAATTGTAGCTTTTGGCGGAGATACTTGATTTCAAACGTTATCATTTGAACGAGCCAAGATTTTTATAGGCAGAGGATTACGAACCATGGTCGAGTGACATCTGAAAAAAGAAGATAATTGTTAGAAATGTGCGCGGAAAAGCCACGCTACGAATGGACAACATTGGTGTGATATCAGAGCCCCGCTTCAGGTCGTTCAATCGGCTGTGGAACAACGCGTGAGGCGTCATTCACTCGCCTGTGAGGGCCAATAGTTCTCTCAAAAATAAGTTGTACTTTTTTGATTATCTTAATCGACATAAGAACGAAATAGAAAAAAAATATAATTTATACTACTATGAAATAGGATGTTATATATGATTAAATAAATAGGTCATATCTGTCAACTGGTTCAGGTTAGCGAATACGATGAACTTATTCAGTCATATATAACATTCTTTATCTCATTATCAAATAGGATCTTTACATTATATGAAGTTGAATGTACCCTTCAACTTGTTCAAACTGAACCCAAACAAGATAATAATTTCTCTGTATACTCATATAACTACGTGCCAACATTTCATGAATTTTCCTGACATAGTGAAGTACGATTCTACGATTGAATACGCAGCAGTTTCAAAATCTGACGTTGACCATTTTATTTGGATCGAATAGTCGAACGATATTACCTTTTCTATGTAACAATAGAAATCACAACTATAAAGGAACACCAGATATTATCGATACGCACATACAAAACTTCAATCAACTAAAAAAAGTCGACTGTATTTTTTCTTTGTTCTTTTTGTGTTTATCATTGACTTTCAGTGAAACTCTTACTTATCGTCACGAATGTATGGCCGCTTTTATCTTCATGGCTTCAGCGCTTATATCAATACAACATAAATCGGAGAAGGCACTGTTCACACAAACAAGACTAAAGAAAAAGCAACGTAACCAGGATAGAAATTAGAAAGTTTTACTAATTGGCAGACGCTGCCAGCTAAAGAAGCCCGCTGTAAAAGAGAACGACATTGTAACAAAAAAGGTCAGGAGACACTGACTAATAGTCGAACGTAAAAATACAAAACAAGCGTTTTATTTCGTACTTAGACAAAAAGAATACTTTTACATATATGTGGGCATTCTCGTATATGAATATCTCTATAAGTGACACACGTTTCTACAGCTGCCACAGCTTTGGTTTTACGTCAGTCACAACAAATAAAATTAATCAATCAGGCTACTACCTTTCAATAATAATAATACAATATCACCCAACATGGGTGTCATCGAGAAGCGGGAGAAAAAGGCCAACAGATTCTATGATAGGACATCGTCGCAAGTCGGATGTATGAATTACTTACGGGCTAATAAATAATAAGTCGAGTTTACTTGTGTTGTTAGCATATCTTCAATAACAGATGGACATAGCATGAATAACTCAAAAACGTGCTCCACCAATTCACGTATCGGACAAGAGTTTATAGCGGGTGCGTTTTCGAGCTCACGGAGCCCTCCTCTCATCGGCTGATTCGATTTGTTTCGCGTTGCGTCATCGGCGAACTTTTCAGCAGAAAGTTTTCAGTCATCTTAAGAGGCTTAGGAACACACGATCGGTCGTGGTACTATTGAGCCGAAATAGCAAACATCTACGCGTTCTCATCTATAATAGCAGTCAATATTCCCTGACATGAGCGGTGCGCTTCCGCTTTTCAGTTGAATTCACATATTTGGTGGTATTACAACTGGGCACCGTTTCTACAATTAATCCCGCCATATCTACTGACGTCACCCGACGTCGACGATGAGCGAACGTTATTTACCGATATCGTGAATGAATACCATCACATTATGTATGTTTAAATATATAGTGATTATATGTATAGAAGGGCTGTCGATATAGCCATAATAATGCTAGATGTATATATATACGCGTTTCTGTCTTGTCGAAAAAATAGTGGGTACGAATGGGCGCGCATTTTATACGTGATACGAGCGGCCCACGGGCGGTGACATAAATGTTATCATCATTTTCTCATGATAACTCTTTGTTAAGGTTATACATGGTCTATAAAAGGAGCCTGGCCTCAGCACCTTGAAAGGCTCCCTCTCTATGCTCCCTTCCTATCTCTTCTTCGTTCATTTACCCACACTCAATTCGATATCACTTCAATAGATTTCTCTTTCCATAAATGTATTTTTTGGTATGTCATCACCACGGCAATGCAACACTTGATCATCGCAGCAGGAATTCGAAATATTAGATGTACATCATGTGAATATATTCATTTGCATTTTCGTCCCTTGCGTACGTGGGCGGGCCAAAACATCAAAATGTCCTGCTTGAAATAACAATTTCGAACGATTAGAGATTCTCAGATCCACGCTTCTAGAGAACTTCACAAAAGCCTATGTTGAAATCTAAATCACTTACCTTTGTTTAACTCAGATACTTCAGTGGAGGCTAATTCGCGGCCTGTTCCTAATGTACATCAAATAGCATGACCTAACGTATGAGAAAAGCCGCTACTGTTGAAACGACACCCGCTCAACGACAGAACTAATGTCGGAACGAAAAATGGGTCACAAACACTGCGAACAGTACCCTATTTTTACGTTTCTAGTGCTTATCTTGCAGTCGGCTCAGTAGGCCTATTCTTCCAAATCGACTTGCAAAGTTTCTACGACCTCTGCTATCGGTCTATGTCTCCATTTTTCTCCCAGTTCAGTTTAAACCTACGGGAAGTTTGGTCGCGTTAGTTCGATAACAGCAGAGACTTATTTTGGCCTACCCGCTTGCGAGACGCACAGATTACTCATTATAACAATAATAGCAATATCAATACAGAAAATTTAAAAGTATATGCTAATTGCCCGCGCTAGCGTGCTCCACTGCCATAATGTAGCTGTAATGAATGTATGTCGCGTCACACTCCAACTCAGACGAACGCTTTTCGCAGATATTATAAATATATCTATTATCTAATATACAGTCAAACCATAGATAAGAGGCGTCTTCACGATAGTGTTTCGGTTCGTCACTCACATATATTGAAACGAAACACTACCTGGACGCATCCGATCTCAGACGTCGTTTTGCTTAAAACTACTTTATACTATGTACGTATAGCTTTTTTTTTGTATCGGTTCACGATCTTACTTTTGTATTAGCGTTATACACGGACGTGCGTGTACGTGTGATGTATGTTTGTATATGGATCAGAGTGGCTTCTAGTGGATTCTGCACAGCGTTTCCGTTGGATAATCTATGTAGTTGTGATTGTTATTTGAGTGATGGTGTCATATCTCTGAGAGAGTTCTAGGATTAGCTCGCCGTTGGCTCAGATGCAGGATCCTCCGGCGGAACGCAATTTTGTGACGATTTATGGTATCCGAGAGAGTTCTTGTGTCGGAATTGACGTCCGCAGCGTTCGCAACTGAAGGGCTTTTCGCCGGTGTGGATCTTCACGTGCCGTGACATGCTTTGTTTATAATCTAACGCAAAAAGTAAGGGTCAAAGATCAAAAATAATCGACAAAAATAATCATTAGCTCGCACACGCAATGCTGCCACTTCTAAGCAGACTAGTACAAACGCCGCCATCTTGAGAAAAGTCAAGGAATGTTCGGACTTTTCCAATGTATGCACAGCAAACATAGAATCATTTAAGGTAACATTTTTCGAGCGGTAAAACTAAAATTACTATATGGATTCCTTTTTATACCTTTTTTTTGTTTTTGTTTTTTTTTTCTCTCTTTTCTTTGTGTACCTGTGGTGAAATCGCAGAGGTCGCAAGCGAATTTCTGATTCGGTCCTCTCCTGAAGAGCATCTCAGAAAAATCGGATTCCAATACGGGTAAGTGTGCCGGATCCAGTGTCAGTGGTATTGATAAACACAAATCTCCTGCGGATACTACAGCTAAAAACGAAAAACTATCAAATCAGCTTCTGAATACTCTACACACGCTTGAGTGTATCTATAACGCTTCTGACATTATTTTAATTCTACCTTTGCATTTGATTGAATACAGCAGTTTATCTGGGAGGAGCTGAGTGGGAAAAACGGCAACAAAGGTTAACTTTATGTTTTAGAAATGAAGAAACGTAAAGGCTTCCGTTCGCCGCCTTTATTTACTCTAATTTATCCGGTAGATATCGATTTTGCCGATGAAAAGAGGGGATTTATCCATTTCCAGACGGCGATCAATCTTGTCTGGAAGAAAGCACAAACCGTTAGCACCGTGTTCGTATTTTTACTGCTCCATTATCGCCATCGGCACAGCTTAATGGAAATAGTATATGCTATTAAAGCGCCAATCAAATACAGTAAAGACACGAAGGTAGCCTATTACAGAATTAATGATATATCCTTATACGATATATCTAAACGTGTTTATTAAAGACTCAGTTTTTTCTTATTCAGCATCGCATAGGAAAGAATCATTGCATAAACATTGCTCCCAATCACCAATCGTTTTTGTTGTTGCTGCTGCTGCTGCTGCTTGTGTTTCTGTCACTTTTTTTGATGCTCTTAATGATCGCGTGATTGTTAATGATTAGTTATCAGTATCATTGTGATTAGTCTTAAAAAAAGACATTCGCTCAGGGGCATTTGAACAGAGTAGTTTTATCTGTAGATGACAATGGTACGTACATAATGATGCTGCGAAATTGTACTGAAACCTGTGTATCGATAAAATATATCATTTATATATATATATGTATAAACATCACAGTGAGCTTGAATGATCATGTGCTATGTGTAAATATAAACTACCACAAATATAACATGTGGTACTGCGCAAAGTACATATATATATATCCTGCGTTCATTCTACTCGATATAGAGGTAATCAGCGTTTATACATGCGAACGATAGGTACTGGTAGATGAATGTGACACTTTGTCAATTTACTCAATAGATAAGCGGAATCATTCTGTAAATACGTTCTTTTATAACCATAACGTGTGTGTTTTTATCATTATTCTATTACTGTCATCTCTTTAACATGCTTGCCTTGACTTTTTGCGTTCCTAAAAAGATCTTGTATTTACACGATAAGATTTACTCCACGCGTAACGTGAGTGTTGCGGGCCTAAAAACATTAATAAATAAATTAAGTTCTTGTTTATAATAAATGTAAGTCCTTTTTGTAGTTATATTAATGTTAAGTATACAAAAAATCAATTGCATTTACAGCTTTGTTTTAGCGATGGTAACTATAGTGACGTAAGATTGCCTTATACCTGATTTGAGATTAAGTCTAATAATGTAACCTGATAAAGGTTAAATCATTATCTTCAGTGTGTACGGATTGTAGGCGAATTTTCAGGTCGCGAGAGCCGGTTGTAACACCTGAATTCTCCAGACGTTTGCATGTGTGTGTGTCTGAGGGTCACGAGAAGTACCTATTAAGAACTGATGCTCATCTGTTGTGTGATCACAGGGTCATTGAAATAGCTTAAAGGTACGTGCTAACGTCACAGCATTGACGCGAAATCGTATAGTAGTTATGTATGCACGCGTTGAATCCCGCTCAGGTACTAGGCCACGTCAAATTGTGACCCACGACGCTATATAATAAAAGATTGCATGCCGACCATCTGTATGTATAAACTTGTGTATATATATCGTATATATAAATCATACATGTATGTATATAATAGTTATTGCACAAGGTCCTTGAGTCGGTAACGAGCTAACGTACGTATGCCAGCAGGAAATAAGTATAGATGTATCAAAAAATACGCGTCCAGTTGTATAAGGTTGTTAACAATAATGATGCAGTGTTGTACAATGCGAATCTCTATTATTTGCTTTCCCTCCATTTGCTCTCTCTCCTGCTACCTCCCCTCTAGTTTATACTCTGGAGTTGTTTTGAAGATAAATCTTCATATAGGCACACAAAAATAATACAAACGTAGAGGTATAAATACGCACATATATGTGTATATATAGTATATTCTAAACCACGATAAATTTTATATATAATACTCTAGGTGCATTCACAGTCATTCAGAGTATAGATTGCATAGAGCGGTCGCACACGCCGTGGTACTGTTTCAGAGTTATTGCAAGAAGGCAAGGCTTAACAAGGTGTGCAGCAGTGCCCAAAAGTGTCATGTCGGAGCGGACTTATTACGTTCAAAATGATTTAAGACAAATTTCGGCATGTGGGAAAGACCTAATCCTACCGTTAACCTGATTTGGGTTGAATCTGACATTTTGGAAGGAAATTTATCTATGCTAAAGTGCAACATTGATAGTTATCTCCTGTCTACTTGAGTTGACGATTCGAACGTCTTTTCCTTCTAATTACTATTTTGGCTATCTCGCACAAAATGCGGCTCTGTCTGACGACTAAATTACCCTCGTCTAAGTAGATAACCAGGCCGTGTTATTTTAGCCTCAATAAAAAGGCTTATTGAGGTCGATTTAGACATCGTTAAGTTGCATCTTGCTCCGAATTCAATAGGCCTTATACATTTTTCTAGAAAACCGTAAGCATGGCGTGTACGAAAAGCTCTGACCATTGCTGTATACAGGTTTATTTTTGCTAGGTTCCACTTGAGCCGGAAATCAATAGCAAACAATACTAATAATAATGGCAATACTAACTTTAAATATAACTATAATGTTTACAATACTAGCTTAAAATCACTTAGTGGAGTGCTTGAACTTGCATCACATTTGGAACCTTTTGTATAGTTTTATGACAAACAAAACCAGTTGTTCTCGTCTAATGGATGCTCCATTTCGAAAATCACCTGCAAAAACGTGATTACATAGCCGAAACAGAAATTTAAATTCTAACGCGAAGGGTGAAGTCGTCTTTTACGATAACTGTGACACTTTGATGAGATTCTACGATGATGAACACTTTGATATAATTTCTTAACAATGACATATATAGCGCTTGTTGAAAGCTCTGCTACTACTGGGTGGTTAATAAAGATTAAAGTCAATCAAGATAGGTGTACCCTTAGTAGTAAGGTACGGCCAGCAGGTCTAAGTAGGGAGCGGATAAACTTTTGTTTCACGTTTTGCCGTGTCGACTTTCAAATGGATTCGTTCAAGTATTGTAGATAAGAGTGCGCGCGAGAATCTTTATTGCAAGTGGAAAAAAAATGTTGATATGTACATAGGTGAGTTCCACATAATCATTCTGCATTTACTCCGCAGAGTCGACCTGATTTCCGTCATTAATTATCGCGGCTGCGAAGGCAAAAGAACAAGCCCCTCAAGAAAACATTACTGTACAGGTGCCGTAAACATATCGCAAAACTATTAGTTTCAACACGTTTACACCCTCAAAAATCACAACGCGCTCGTATATAACTAGAACTATCTGGAATTACCATTGGTCGGTTGTTCTAACTCCGGAGCCAAAAAAGCCATCACCAACAGGATTCTTTGTCTGAGGCACGCAATTACTAGTTTGCATCATGCGTTCTCATCTCTGAAACCATCATTCCAAAACCAAATTCGTAATGCTCGAAATCTATAGCGTTCGAGCGCGTAAACCTTATAGGTATCCACAACCTGTCAGAACCACTTCACTGCGACAGGCACTTTGTCGTGGATAGAAATCAAAGGTGAACGAATGACAGAGCTTGAATAGTTGGATCTCATTTTACTGATCAACCGCCTCTGAAGCACAACTGTTGTGTTCAGCGATAATAAATTATCGTTTCGATCCAAACAAGTGTAACCCTATTTCAGTATATCGCAGGTTCATAATGTATCACGTTATAGCGAACGATGAGTCGTTCTTGGAGGAACAGGGCACAGTTTACCCGAAGCTTGAACGATAATAGAGAGAGTGCACTGACGAGTTCTTCCGTGGTCGCCCCTTTTGGACGAACGAAATTTACGCGTCAGCGGAGTCGAAAGTCCATGTAATAAGGATTTGCGGTGTCAGAGCAGTTCTCCGTGAACTCGTCTTAAATGTACATTCAGCGGACTCTTCTGAGTAAAACACCGGCCACACACATAGCACTTGTACGGACGTGCACCCGTATGAGTTCGTACGTGGTCAATCATATGTGATCTGTGATAACACAGAGGGTTGACAAAACAATCTTAGAACTTAGCTTTACTGCCACATGGATATCAATCGTGAACAGCGTTTTAAATAGACTCCCAATAAAGCATTGTCGAAATTTACAGACCTGTCGCACACATTTGATGTTAATCAGGCCGAGAACTTTAACGTAGTAAGGCAATTCGATCGAATTAAAGAAACACGTACCTGCAAAGAGTCTTGTACTCGCAATGGAGGCAATGATAAAAGCCTTTACTGCCGTTTCGTAGAAAGTGCTGGCTCTCGCTGTCGGGAATCGCGGCGGAAGCTGTTGTCGACGTTCCCGAAGAGGAGGATCCTGCCGAGGCGGATGGCCCGGCTCCAGCGGAGGTCGACGGCTGCGAGTCTAATAAACCCGAAGACTCCAAGAGCTTTAGATTGAATAGACTCACTGAAAATCAACATAGATTAATAACTATTTGTTAGAGCAATTTTCAAGGCTTCTAACCTACTTGCTATATCTGACCAAGGCTATAAGTAGGTTCGCAATCTACATTATGTAATAGTTAGTGAGTTGGAAAGGTGCGGGCCGAACCGATCGTAGCAGGCGATGCGTAAAAAACAGTAGCAAGTGATATTTTTTTATGCTGTAAACAACATCTCGACATGCTTTTTTTGTGAACTGAATTTGCTCTGTTAGAAATGTTATAGAAAATATGGGTTAGATTATGAAAGGAACCTAAACAGAAGTATATATGGTATTACCGGATTAAATAACTGACTTGCTTTGAAGTAATAGTTCCCATTCCGTTAATACGTTTATATTGCCAGTAATAATAGGGCTTGCGTTTGACACTGGCACGAATACAGAATGATCGTTTTCAAAATAAACTGAACAAATGCTGCTACATGTTCGCGAAATCATTTGGATACATTTTATTTGACAAGAAAAACAACATCTATAATTAATAAAATAAAAACGAATTCAATTAGATATTGATAATGAACTAAATCGTAATACCCGAATAAGTGTTTACTATGAAAGGGTACGACAACGTTTAGATACAGTTGAGATGTGTCCCCAGCAAGGGCAGCAGACGTAATCTGTAAGGGCAAAAACTATTTAGCACGACTCTAGCCAGGCTCAAATATGCTTAATTAAATATCGCAGCTAAATGCAATTCTTTCGACATCAGACAGCAGGCTGCTCACCCTACTGGGTAAAGGAACACGAATCTGGTGCTAGGTTTCCTAGAAATTGGGTTTTGCCCACTTACCTTTGTGACGCTTTCCTTCCGGCAAATGTTCACAAATACTTGTTGCAAACGCTTTACACTATCTACCGCAGCGGTTCCCCTACGAAAAACATGTGCGTATATGATGAAGGAGCAACTGCATATTCGGCCTGCCTGACAAGTTAAAGCAAAACTACTTGAAACTTAAGGGCTTATAAGTCAACTCTACTTACAGCAGTCTAGAGCAGTGCTTCTTGTTAGTGTGCAATCGGTTAGTTAATTTGGTTGAACCTTACGCTGTAGCTTCATTCAGTTTCTATACGTGCTGACCTTGCGACACGAAACACCGACTAGCTATCGTCAAAGGCGCAGACTAGAGTCCAGGAACCACCGGTGCTATGAACCTTACCGATTCATGCTCATACGTTTTTTTTTTTTAGTCAGCAACTAAATATTGTATATTGCTCTATCTAATTTACTGCCAATCATTCGTCTCGAACAAGCCAGTCACGCGGAGGCCACATCATTTAGGACGAGATGACGGCATATTCATCTCAATATTTTTAGTGTATTTCGGACTGGCAGCACAATAGAAAACGGAAAAAAATTATTATAGTTGAATTTGGCTTATAGACATTTTATCACAGGCTTATTTTTTTACTTATCTTATGTTTATTTGTAAGTTGTCTTTTCGTATTGCGTAGGATATGCGACCTAAATATTATGGCTATGCCAGCACGTTTCCGCATAAGTTAAGATAGTCAGAGATAAATTCTTGTCCTATTTGAGGTTCCATTCATTTTGCTTCTTCTGCAGATATGTAACGTGACGAATTGTATCACACAACGCATTGTACAAAATATTATGGATAGGCATCGGCTCCATATGACAGACACGTATAACGCTGTCAACGACATTTGTGAGCCTTGTTGCAGTATTCTGACTATTTTTTGCCTTACAGTGAGACAAATTACATTGTCAACCTGTGTAGCTAGCGTTTCGACCGTTGATCTCAAGATGTCGGTCCCGTCCAGTTGGTCGATTCTAAATGCCACTGCATAGTTCTCATGCGTGCAGTTATTTGCGTATCCCGACATAAAGACGCTTCATCTTAAGGTTACAACAAACTCTGGGGTCGGGTAGATTCAACATTTTACGAAACGCTTCCGATATCAGCAGATATCTCATCATGCTGGCAGTCTTCGCACTCCGCATCCGGGCGCGTGTTTCTAACTGGCATGACTAAATTCAAATCGAGATTACATATCCATACACGCACGTACACCCAGTGCTAGGCAATGACCACTGCACGATACAACAGAGTTTCGGGAATAAAACTGGCAATCTTAATTGCAAGGTAGATTGTGGGCGTCTCAGAGTGCAATAACAATCGTACTATCATACCGGCGCAGGAAAAAAGGAAGCTGAATAATAGGCAAGACGCTTTAGTTATATGTTGGTCATTTTTCCTGCAAGGTGGATTCGCTCGATACTGAAACATTGTCTTCTCAAGAGTGCATATAATATATTCACGGTTATATGATAATAGCTGGTTTCCTGCTTAGCTGTTGATTGTCGCTTCGCCAGTCAGATCTACTTGATTGGATTAATTTTATACAAAAGCATAAAATCACAACATCATATGAATGTATGTGTAATGAGTATGGCAAAACACATATACGGGTGTATATATATGCAGCACTCGAATACGGCCAGACGAAGTTAAAAGGTGCTCAGACAACTTTCTCTTTGTTTCCGAGTCACAACATGCATGTTTGGCACGCACGCACGCACGCACGCACGTATATTGCATTGCTGTGACCGTTTTATATGAGTCAAGTGGTAAAAGACGATGAGCAATAACCTCTCATTTTCGCGGGTCACCTTTGTTTCAGCAACATACAACTATTACTGGAGACAATGAATCAGATATCATCGGAAAGATATCCGATGCTTGAGGCGATGAAATTTTCCAGTACCTGAAAAGATATTTCCAGTTAGTAAAGTATCGACACAGAATCGCCTCTGACTAGATGGGGGTACAAACACTGTCATTTTATGCTTTGAAACATCACTTTAGCTTACAAAATAGTCTAAAATCAAGTGATATCGACACATATCTAGAGTCCTCCAAGCTCGACCAAGAAGAGTGCGCAGTGTACGTTAAAATGACCACCGATTCTACATAAATCTCTCGATATACAGACTGCCCCTATACATTTATGCAATGACTATCTTAATTGACAACTCAAAATGGTCGTTTTGCAGAACAGCAGAGATTCATAGGATCTTGTTTATTCTTGTATAATTATTTATCACATCATACGAATACACCGACGGTGATCATGTGTGTTTTTTTTTTTTTGTTAGGAGATACAGAGGCGTCTTATTGCGTCACAACGTTTACCTAGTCAGTTTCGTTCTTTACCTTAGACAACAGAAACGATACGACGACACGTTGACAATAGCGCCATTCTCACTATGTATATATGTAGATATATGTATATACATATTTTATATAATTGTATTTAGTTGTTATTCATAATGTACTGTGAAGTGTATATCTCATGTTTATCATACACAGCTTACGTACATATTTACGTTGCAACACGACTCGTAACAGGCGACCTTGCTGATCTTTGATTCCTTTTCCACTATGCATTTTATCTGCACTTGAAACCGATACAAAAATGTTCACATTTACTTGTCTCATCGCCAAGTTAGCCTAAAATTCTATAGACCTTGTGTCTGTACGTTCTGATTGCTTGATCCTCCCTTGGCGCGCTTCCATTCGTCATCATCCCTTAGCGTACATGTTTTGCCATAACATAGGTTCTGTCTGGATCTCTTGCCAGCGAGCTACAAAAAGACAACTGCTGTCGACGTTTTCCTCGTCCAGCCAGGGAAAGCAAGCGAAAAGCCACCGCCTTTGATAGGGGAAGCGCGACCATTTTAGAGCAGACCACGAATGGATTCATTATTACACATGATGCATTGCTATTTCTCAGTGTCGTTTGTTCCTTATACTTTACATGTACAGAACGATTTAGTTTTTAACTAAACGCCTGGAGCGCGTTTCCATATGCAACCTTCTTGCTATCATACTAAGCTTTTTTGACACTTTCGACTGTTACGGCTGGGTTTTGTCTCCGGGAATTTCTTTTCTTACAAATAGAAGTAATTTGCTCCTGATATATAACTCCTTCGAGAAATAAATGCACTATTGAGTGTATCCAGCCATAAGGGCCACAGACCTGTATATCTAGCCAGTATTATAAATGCAAACAGCGATATTTTTTGCATCACAGATATAGAGGCTTGTTTCAATCTCCAGCTACCCAGCTATCTATCTCGTTTGCTTAGATTCGTTCTGAGACAAAGGTTGATCCAGATAGTTTGTGTAAGTACTTTGTTGTACGAACTGCAGAAACAACCCTTAATTTCATAATTCGTCCGTCGTACACACCATCTATTTTTGTATCTAAAAATGCTTCCACCCATATATATATATAGTATATTTAAGGTCATCCTCTTTTTAGGCGAGTAAATGAAACAACGGATGTATTATACCTTATGTGATGCAATTCGACTTCTATGTTGTACAATATTGTTACCGCACAATTCGTATAGCTCACCGTGGATTTCCCTGAATGTGAAGAAGTCGGGCGGTGTGCGTGTGTTATTTCCTTTATGATCGATCCTTTAACCGACAAATATTACTTTTCGCTTGCATGTATCTATGTACAGACTGGAGAAAGGGGTCGAGTCCTACTTTCGCGCTCGTGCAACTCAAGATGGACCGTTTGGGTAAAAAGCATCTCCTCGGTGCACTATTGCGATATACGATACACTTTTATATTTTGACTTCACGGTTTAGAACATCCACAATACTCCACGGTTATTACTTACAATGGTGTATATATAATATACTATATGCTTAATGTGATTTTCTAGCCATCAGGAAACATAACAGTGCCAATTGCTGAACTTGTGTATGTTTCTGGGGGGGGGCGGGGGGCGGGGGGGGGCGGACTGAGACTAACTTTTTGCTTAAAAGCGGAGAGAGGAAAATCCGAAGCGAAAAATGAATTTCATGCTTAAATGAAAAAGAAAAACAGTCTAGAGAATAGGTTAAAAAAAAGTTTTCTATTTTATGAATACCATAATAGATATATTTGCTAGCTAATCCTCTTTGCCTACCCTAATGGAGATATATAGCCTTAGCGATGTTTCGATAATAATTTTATGCAGTAGCTATCAGAATCTTTACAAACGTTAACATAATTACATGTCATCGGCTCTTCAAGCCCTCTTGTCGAACGAATCAACGTACACTGCGCTTTATTTAAAATGCAGTTGATTCTTCACATTGGTACCAAAGGAAAAATAAAGCGGACCATCATTAATAAGTACACTACAACGCACCTGCGTCTACCTTTCGCCACTATACTGCACTCACCAACTCCATTCCCTTTACTGATATGAATATATATATATATATATATATATAAGTATATTGCACATATATCTAAATAGTATGTATGTATACTATGGTGACGTTTGCATATTTTCCACTGTACAGACCCATATGTTTTCTGCATAAAGAAATGCGTAGGGAAGCTGGCAAAGATCAAAAATGATCGTGCCATGCCGAGGGAATGATTTGAATTAGTTGAATAGCGGTGGTTTCTAGCCGACCACGACCGACCAATAGGAGGTGTCGTCTACCTGATAAACTTATTAGAGCATTTCTGTATACTGTCAAGTGGATCATTTAGCAGCAGAGAAACGATCCTTCCTCTTCGTTCGGCCATGCACACGTTACTAATCACCGGCCATAGCCGACGTAGGCCTTCTAACCGAGATACGAAATAGAAACGGGCTCGTTGAGACGAAAATAGAACATACTGATTCTGTCGAACTCTAACAGCTTGCGGACTTACCGAGCGTTGCCACTGAAGACGATTAGCTCACTACAAACATCGACAAACGAAAGCCGATAAAAATACAGACAATACGATTCATAGGATACACGAATACTTAAAGGTTTAGAGCCCAATGGCTTCCCGCTTCTCGCATGTGCTGCACACAGATGAATATATATGTGCTGTTGTTGAATTTTCGTATAATAGACATTTATTCCTAGTCATTTCTTCCACTCTTATTGACTTTTCAGCATCAGAGACCTAGATAAGACTAGATTGTTGACTAGAAGTGATTTTACCCGGACAAAGTCCCCGCATACGATGCATATGTAGGCCGAATTTCTGCGTGTAGGAACGACCACAATCGATGCACTGGAATCTCTCGCCGGTATGTATACGTAAGTGCCTATTGAGGGTTCCCCGTTGAGTGAACGTCTGATGACAGATACCACATGGATACGGCCGCTGTTTTAGGTGAACGGTGCTGATGTGGATCTCGAGTATTCGACGGGTTGCGTATAACTTTAGACAAAACTCACAACGATGGCCCACTGATGAGTCGACGAAGGCAGTCAATAAATCTACGCGACGTACAGTAAATGAAGGAGTTTGAAAAAACAAACAGAGCGATATATGATAGTCTGTTAGTGCGTATTTGTGTACAATGGAACTCGGCCTCATAGTCAATATTACTCATTCAAAATATACCCTGCTTATATTCGACTGAGCATACCTATGTATTACGAGCTAGACGAAAGACGAGCCTAAAACGACACAACAAACGGCCTCGGTTTACTGGCCGGAAAACAGTTCAGCTCGGGGTACAATACGAGTCATCTTTATTCATAAAGACATCGTAGTCTTTATTTAAATAAAGATAAAGTATTGCCTATGTGAAAAGGGGGCGCAAGGAGGGCGTGCTAGGTGCAAGACGGGATGCATTATGCACATAATGTACTTGCCTCAGTTCGACATCGCGTTATAAGCTTTATTATGGATTCTATTTTATCTGTGTTAAGTAAAGTCGGTCGCATGATTAGATGGTAACAGCATTGTTACCCGATACGAGTTAAGTTTTCATTGATTCACTTTTCGATGTTGTAGCATATAGAAAAAGCATTGAATTTTCGCAAAACGAAAAAAACAAAAAAAAAAAACTGTAGGTAGTTAGGCTGCACAGCTTCTACATTGAATCTCAGAATTGCGTCAACAGCCAAATAAACAGCTCTTATACGGTCAGAAATTCCCAAATCCATTGTACAAATAAGGCTTCCGAGCTAGCTGCATCTTCGCTGGCCAGCGGACGTTGAGACTCACTTGATCGGAGCAAACCTGAAAGCATATAGCTGTTAGTGTATGCATAAAACATATTTTAGACTTAAGAATTTACAGCGAGAGATCGAAAATCTTTTCATCCATACCTAGACTCAGTCCTCAGACTTTAGAGTGCTACCAACCGACCTCTCTTAACAGCAAGATTAGAGTGAAATAAATACGCAAGCTGACAATTCAGTAGTACCATTTTATTCAAGCGTTGAGCAGTATATATACAATGTAGTTTCGGTCTTAACGCGAATTTGCCGACTGCTACCACTCCATCTTTCGCACTGCCTCTCCCTCCCTCCTTCCCTCTCCCTGTCCTTATTTTTCAGCCACTTGTTTTATTTATACTTTACTTATCATGTATAACTATAACTTGTGCAACGCTTACAGTGACGAGTTCTCGTCAACTGTAAGAACAAACTCAGTCAGGCCCGATCAGTCTGGCTTACATTTTCTGGCACCTCAATCGAAAAAAATAGATCGTTTCAAGCAAAAGTTTTGAAAAATCAAATGCCTATTGATGCTGCTGCTGCTGTTGCGGTATTAGAACAAGTGTTCTCTCACTAGCGTAGTAACCGTATTCCGGATGAATAAACATTTTTACAGAAAGATGTGGCGAACAGAAAAAAGGTAAGTGTTCTGCCATTAAGTGCAACGCGCCATATGCAGTAGAGCATATCCGGTACGATGCTACTCTATATCATTTTCTAGGACCATGTAAAGTCTATGTACATGCGCGTATAATTACATCATATAATATGGTTCATTTTTGTCATCTTTGCAAAAGCTGGCCATCGCATCTGGAAGCCACTCTGTGTGTTTGTTTCATTGTCAAAGCATGATGATTTCTATTATTTATGTGTGTGACATTTGAACAAATACGAATTCAAGTCAGTATCAAGTTAACAAAGTTACATAAATATAGAGAAAGCTAAACAAAATGATACATTTACCATATATCCATGGTATAAAATGACCGGTACGCTAAAGTAATCATCACAGATTTGTCTTTCGTTCGACATGAATGTTGCGAAGGCTGAGATGGTACATGCAAATACGGCCGCTCAATAGCATTTTCTAGGCGGAACCATAGCTTAAATGAAGCGCTACGAATAAAAACGTATAACTAACAATTGCTGACACTCAAACGAACGCCTCCAGCAGGGGAAGCGGGAAACGAAGCGATTGGCCGGTTCGATAATACCGTTTGCCTTTCATAGAGTCAGTAGATGACATTCGAAGGTTACCGTTGGCTATATAATGGTTTAGAAAGGGGCCCTCAAGGAGGCTTATAAAATGAAAGTGAGCGTGTATATCCGTTTGTACCGGCGTAGCGCAACCGCTAAACACTCGCGCTACCGTCATTGAAATATGTGGTGATCTTTAATGACTGAATCTGCAATGGCTAAACACATTATGTATGAGCAAACAGGCTGGTAACTTGTAGAGGTTCGAACATTCCTGTCGAAATCAAAGTGGCGAGTAAGCTTGTTTGAAAACACGAAATCCAACGAGCTAAGGGAATTATGATGTATTTCATATGACCTAATCAGCTCAAGCAGTAATAAAGCGAACGTTGCAATTACATAGATTAAACCAAAAACAACTAAACACCATACAATAAATTTCCAACCCTTCACCGGTTGGCCACAATGGTTCGTCATCGGAAGTCTATGGACGTTTTTTCTCTCGATAAATTGCATGCATATAGTTAATAATGCCCGTTAGAAAACGCTTCTTATCAAGCCATCTCCTTTCATAGAGAGTCGACGCATCGCTAGCCAACAATCCGCAGGTTAACTAATGGCACAATATTCCTTTGTCTCTCATTGTTAAAATACACCTACTCACTCGTGTAGAATATGACTCGCATGATTTGCCTATCCAAGATAGCCAAAGGAAATGAATCCTCCCTACGTGTCGGCATATCTTTCAACGAGTCCCAACTGATCCCTTAAGCACACCCTAACAAATTTATTGGCATAAACTCTCGAAATGGCAGCGAACTTTGTTCAGGAACTTCAGTCTCTCGTTTTCGTTAGATCTCCATCAAAATGACGATCTCATCACTTTGCGTTCGTCGAAGACGCAATCCAACGTACCGTGTTTTCGTGCCGCGTGGATGCGGACATTGTTTCGTTGGCTAGCCGCGTACCCACAGATGAGACAGCGAAATGGACGATCACCAGTATGTGTTCGTTCGTGTTTGATTAACGTGTCCTTGTAAATTGTCGAGTAACTGCAGAAGCTGCACGAATGTCTTTGGCTGTGTGGAGCCGGCGCTCCGGGGTGCGCCCCTGGAACTGTAGACCCCCTGAGGGCGTGAGCGCTTCGGTGCGGATGCTGGTGCTTTAGTGACGTTTCGTGCCGGTGGGGTGAGACATTCACAACAAGCGTAGCGGCATTATCAGCAGATACACACGATGGGACATCGAACACTGTTAACAAAAACACGAACACTGCTACAATTACTAGAATAATGAATGTCTGAAGAGAGGTCCATAGAAGATACCTTTGAAATATATATATATATATATATATGAACTTTTGTACAATAATTTTTCTCGTATTGGCAAGAACGTAATGTTATTTATTGAATTATTCGCAAATATCTCTATTTGCGGAATTTTGGAATTTGATTTATATTAGGTAAGCGGCGACGGAACCGCTGATAGGAACCGTTCGCTGCTTGAGCAGATCATTTGATAGGTGTCAAGAACTACCTGAAAGAAGATAGGTTGTATTAGATTTGTAAACAGGCCATGCTTACATCAGCATGAATATTTTTCTACTACTGGGAATGAACGTATATCCTTGCAATAAATTAACACCCTTGATAATGTATTGAAAATGACAAGATGTTTATTTTTATAGATCATTGTCTTTATTACATAATATTTAATTGGTAACACTAATGAGATCGTGCGTGCTGTATACGTTTCATTGCAGGTATTCATTGGTTCTGTTTCTATCCATGGGCAATTATAAATATGGTATAGGTCTTCAAAACATGTGACGTGACTAATACAATTGTATACGTTCTTCGAGAGACCGCACTTGAATTTTTTTGTGCGAATAACGTACAACATAGCGTACCAAATTTCTACTCTTGTTTTACTTCAACTGACCCTATATTTTAAAAAACAAAACTTTTTTTTACTAGTGTCTCTAACCAGAAATATTCATCAGATCAGTTTTATCAGACATATCTCCGCTCTTCTGATCGCTGGCTCTCTCTTTCAATTATTACCTTTGGGATCTGCTTTTTTCAGCTCCACCAAATATAAATTTACTTATTAAAGCTTCAAAACTTATTGATGATTGAACATAAAATCAATCAATTTTCCTAACCACTAGTCCTGAGCAAGACGCACTTCTGTCCCAATCATCTGCCTGTTTTTTTACGCTCTATTTGTATCCTATTCTAATTGTAGTAAAATTACTGAGCCAATAAACCTTATTTACCCATAATCACTTCATGTGTTCGGCACAAACTATAAAACAATTCGGGAGAACGAGGTTAGCAAAAGAAATTGGTTTGTTTAGGTCATAACCTGTTAAATAGATTTAGTATAAGTAATACTGCAGAATCTATCAAAACGATACCTGACGCATTAAAAACATCACAGAAAAGTATCAAAAGAGAATATGAAACCGCTTAGAAAATTATATGTCAATTACAACTATCGGCCTAGGATATCTATATATAAACATAACAAAGGTTTTTATAAAGCAAATCGAACACTGACTCTCGGATAATTCTTTGTGTACCTTCTTCGTTTCACTTTTCGCACGTTGGACCACAACGTTTCGCGTTTTCAGCCCAGGGGGCATATCGCGTTTAAAAGCAAGTGTTTTGAAACGTTACTATTGTAATCTTGGAAGAACGACTAACTGGATTATCAGTCTCGTCGTACATGGGGACAATAACGTTAGGCTTGAAGTACGCGAGAAATTTCTTTGAAGAGATTTCTCACAATGATGGATGCTTCAAACGGTATTCTCTTTCTATGCACAAAGACAAAGTAAAATATCACGGATATCTATAAATTGTGTCATCTTCAAAACAATAGCTCCGAGCGTGTTTAGTTCCCCGTAGACCATCTACGCTCCAGTTGCAACGGTTCCATGATACTTGCAGTTGATTTTAACTTTGGTACTATTTTTAGATTAGTTAACACGCGTTTCACGAGGAAATTCGATAAGTTTCCTCATCTCACCATTAATGTTTTTGACTTTTTTGTTTCAGAAACTTCTGCAAATTCGGTAACTGGCCTTGACTAGATGCCAATTGTAACTCATGGCTGGTGTCGAATAGTGTACGTATTTTAAATATAATCGTCCACCTTTGCGATGCCCATTAATGTGGTACTTTTCACTCAATTGCTCAAGTTTGCCATTTTTCCCAAGTTTGCGGTTCTCATAAAGGGCATCTGTGCAGTTTCTAAGTGGCAGCGGCATTTCAATACGCTTCCTTTAGGTCAGCTGACAGAGATGGTCCTCGTCGGATTTTATCTGACTTTTCATCTGTCAGCTGTTGATCAATCTGTTTATGCGTACATGTACTCCTGCCTCTCTTCCTCAAGCTGTTCGACCATGGCCATCGTTTGAGCGCAGGCCACCTCGTGCCTTCGAAGGTGTTGTTTTAGCTGTTTCCCACAGTACCGACACGTGTAAGGCTTCTCGCCTGTTGATCAAGAGGTAGAAAACTCTATATATATGAAGAGCAATATATATATATATATATATATATATGTATATATTAGCATTTTTTTTAATCATAGAGAAAGTGTTATTCAGTATATTATATTATTACGACGATTGCTGTTGTAATGGCAAACTCAGTTGCTTTCTGTTACTTACCGGTGTGCGATCTTGCGTGTCTACGCAAGTTTGATCGGTAACACGTCTTGTAGGGGCAGATTGAACAACAGTGAATAAGAGCACCGTTCCTCGATCGGTGAACCTCCCCAAATGATTCGACGCCCACCAACTCGAGACCTTCCGCACCAGTCTCACCATCGATATCTGCCACGTCCAACTCGTCCGGTTCCAGGTCAACATCAATAGGCATGTCTACCAAATCTATAAAATAAGATGTGACCAACGAATGTGGCCCAAGTTACTGGGCCGGTCAAGTTACAGGGAATCAATTATCCCTCAGCCAGTCACTAAGTAAGCATTTGTGCAGTTAACTAGCTACTTCAGTTTATTCAGTTAGATACACCGTGTTTACACCGTTAACTGACTGTTACGTAAACGCTGTATTCTGCCTCCATATCTTTGTCAGTTACAGCTGAAGCCGTAACGAAATCGAAGTGAGAGTTGGCCTATAAAATTCTTCTAGCACCTCAGGTGCTGCAGCCCGTTCCTCGACACCAACAGGCTTTTGCTTATACCATGAACTGGAAGCAAATACGACTGTTAGTGCGATGTTGATAATTTAACTCTTTAAGTTAGCTGAGGTTAGTGTGTAAATAGCTACGGCGAGAGAAATCAAAATGATTTAATCTAAATGATCGGGTTTCGATAGCGTAAGTAGGTCACACGACAGAGGTCTTTAATTACGAAGCTCGACATGAAGAAGACCGTAACTTGTTTCACACTGAGTAACTTTATTTCACTACGTATTCAAATATTTCCGTGAGTAGAAAACAGACATAACTTAATTCACATGCATATCTTTAACTGTAAATTATATATCTTTGTCATAATTCATACTTAATGCGTGTATATATGTACAAGCTCTGTACAATGAAACTCATTATTGCACCATTTCATTCTTTATCACTAACTGGTTTGCTTCGGCCAGCAAGTGCCTATCATAAATATATACTTTTAATTTGTTATTTATTTACTTTTCTAATTTCTCATTTGCCAACAAAGCACCAACATCGGCTACCTCGTCTGTAGCTCAACCAGACTCGAAAAGCTTCTCGGAAAGGACGTCATAATAATATAAGGTCAATGAGAACCCCGTTTCAAGCAGATGCCGTTCTAATCCAGAAGCGAAAAATCACTTCGGCAAAAAACAGTTGCGAATATTATAACGAAGCGGTACCTGATATTTCTAATTAAAAACAATTAACAATACTGTTCTCTCTTGAACACGTCCTTGACTTGAGCGTTCCCACGGCGGATTATAATACGCAAATGACTGCCCGCCCATGAAAGTAATACACATAAATCAAAGTAAATAAATAACGGTAATAAAGAACAAAGGAAGCACGTTTCAAGATCGCGTACATTACATCGTAACGGTGTCGGCTACACACAGCTGTAGGCAAACTGAAGCCTAGTAGGGCAGAAGGTCAGTAAAAACGGAAGCTATTTCCCGACTAGGGAAGGGCATCCGTCTATAATCACACCAGTCAGTTCGGAATTAGTACGTGACGTAAGTGGTAGACTTTCTCATGCGATCCTTGTTCAACGATAACTAAAGTAAAAAAAAAAGCCAAGAAAACAGACTAGAGAACAAGTATAGGGGGCAAACACGCTTTAATATCTAATGTGCGGTTTACGTTTGAGCAATCGAAGGAACAAAAATGCCTCTACGTGCAATAAGATCGCCCCTGACAACACGCGTAAGCCTGTCCACCTCGAGTGCTGAAATTCAAAATGAAATATTAACTTCAATAAAAATTTACAGTTATCTAACTTGAATGGATTTTAGCCTTTGTACCTAGATATATATATACAAATATATA